TCAGGGCTTTTAAATACATCAGGGAGAGCGAAGCTGAAACTGGATCAAGGTGGACTCATAGACCACTTAGGACTGCAAATCCCTGAGTTCATGGTCTCCAGAGCTTCTCCCAGGTCCCTCCCACACTCTCAAGTTCGTCTTGCAAAAGTCGAAGGACCTGAAGGACCATAGGGCTCCAGGGCTCCAGGGCTGATGCTTCAGTTTGGCCTAGGGAGCCCTGGAGTTTAGGGTTTCACTCCCAATGCCTTTATGCTGACCCCTACCCATCTTTGAAATTCACTGGGACTTTAGAGCCCTGGGACTTTCAGAGGAAAAGCAAACTGTTCCCGCCCCTCAACTAGTAAAGAAGACACACCTAGAGGATCTGCTGGAACTAGAAATGTGAAGCGGAGTGGAAGGGAGGGCGGGCTTCATCTGGTCCTAGGAGAGCTGGAACCCAGGAGCTGGGCACGGGAACGGAGCTAGGAGAGTTTAGGGTGCCTGTGGGCTGCCCAGCGCAGCTCCGACCTGGTACCTGGCCCTCACGGGAAAGCGCTATTCACAGGCAAGGGCCAGATCTTTCTCACGGACGGGTTTTTCCCGGATTTTGCGCCCGTTAAGCCACACAGCCAGGCTTCTAATCATGGGCTTCCCAGGAAGACGATGAGAGAGGGAGGGAAAAGAAAGCCAACAAACTTGTGAGTCCGCTCTGGGCCTTGGCAAAGGATATGAGTGGCTCACACTTCCTTTGGGAGTTTATCCCCTACCCCCAACAACAGCAAACAAAAAAATGATCTCAAAGGTTTCCATGATTCTTATATACACTGATTTATGCAGTGCTCAGATAAATAATGTTTTCCATCATTTATTATGATAATCTTTGTCTATTCGTCTATATTTCATGTTTCTGTATGTACATATACATATACATGTATCATATCTATTATTTTATTATTTATAATATTTTCTTTATAATTTTATATAATAAATTATACATTATATCCATATATGCCCCCAAATTAGTATGAAATTAAAAAACATTATAATAGCCAATGCGATAATTTAGTTATCTTTTTATATCCCTGGGAGTTAGGATAATTAAAAAAATACATACCCATCTTAGTTTGATATAGTCAGTGATTCCAGAGAAAATCTTTAAGAACCAAAAGTAGTAATGACATATTTTGTTTATATATATGTATATATTTATACACATATAAATGTATAAACATCCATATAAACATTTTCATTTATATAAACATAAGTATATATCTATATTTTACATGCTGTGTATACATGTACTTCACATGCAACATAAATTACATAATCTTGGGCGTGCTTCTGTTTTAGTTCTTGATTTTGTTTTACTAGCACCTCACAAGAAATGATTTACACTATTATGGAAGTTTACCTAGTTATTTTAAGTTGTTCAAAACGTAATTCCTTAAAGCTTTACTGTTTACTTATTAATATAACTGCTGCAATCAACCTGCAAATATTTTCACATTTACAAATATCTCTGTTTCCTTTATTTTCGGTTCTCCATGCTTATTAACATTATTTATATACATATGTGTATTATATTTTTTGATAAAAGAATTTTAATAAAAAATGAGGAAACAATACTATGCCTTTTTAAAAAATTTATTTTATTGCATTTTAGGTTTTGGAGTACATGTGAAGAACATACAAGATTGTTGCATAGGTACACACATGGCAGTGTGATTTGCTGCCTTCCTCCCCATCACCTATATCTAATACTATGTCTTTACTAGCACAATCTTATGTTGAGTTTCAGGTTATCACAAATGAGTTTCATTTAGGTGTTATTAATCCTCACATAAAATGTCCTATTAGTACTTTTCATAGCAAGCTCTTTGATGTGTAAGAATACACATAAAAGGGTTTGTACACATTAAATATATACCATTTTTATTTGACAATTTACCTTAATAAAGCTGACAATAAAAACACAAAGGGTTAATTCTCTCAGATAGTAGAAGCAGAGAGGAATTAAAAAAAAAAAAATGAATACAAATGCCTTAATAGAAAAATAAGCAAAACAGTCTTAAAAGAAAGTAACAAAACCAGTTATTACTTTTTTAATTTTCAATTTTTTTTTTTTGAGTTAGAACCTTCCTACGTTGCCCAGGCTAGAGTGCAGTAGCTATTCTCAGGCACAATCATTGCACACTACAGCCTCAGACTCCTGAACTCAGGCAATCCTTTTGTCTCTCCCATCTAAGTAGCTAATAGTATAGGCATGCTCCACCATGCCCAGTTAAAACCCTGTTTTAAAAAGTTGACTACCATTAGCAATAATTTGTCATATATTTTAGAATAACAAATAACTGAAGGAGTACAATTTAAAATGTTTGGGACACAAATAAATAATGAATGCTTGAATAAAGGAAAACCTCATGTACCCTGAGGTGTTATTATTACTCACTGTATGCTTGCATCAAAATATCTCATGTACCCCATAAATATATATGCCGTATATGTACTGATTGTTTTAAAAGTAAACTTCACTAGTAACTAAACACTGTGTATTTAAATTGAAACAAGATTTTTTTTTACATCTACCAAATTGACTCATTTTTAAAATGATGATGCTCAGTAGTATCAGTATGATGAACATAGTATACTACTCTGCATAAATTAAAAAATGGCATATCATTTTTGATAAATGAATTTGTCTATATAGAGCAATAATCTTCAAACTACTCAAATTCTCATTCAAGTTTTTCTCATAAAAACTTTTTGCAAAAAAATAATAAGTTTCAGGAAAAGTCTTATGTTCATTGATATTAATTCTGAGAACTAAATAAAATAATGCATACCAATTACTGACATATAGTGTTAGCCTAAGTACTAACACTATTTTTATTATAGAGTAGAAATGGAAAAATTATCTCAAATTTGAAAATGAAATAAATGAATGACTGCATGTTATTTCTTTTCTTTTCTTTTCTTTCTTTCTTTTTTTTTCTTTTGAGACAGAGTTTCGCTCTTGTTACCCAGGCTGGAGTGCAGTGGCGCGATCTCGGCTCACCGCAACCTCCACCTCCTGGGTTCAGGCAATTCTCCTGCCTCAGCCTCCTGAGTAGCTGGGATTACAGGCACGTGCCACCATGCCCAGATAATTTTTTGTATTTTTAATAGAGACGGGGTTTCACCATGTTGACTAGGATGGTCTCAATCTCTTGACTTCGTGATCCACCCGCCTCAGCCTCCCAAAGTGCTGGGATTACAGGCATGAGCCACTGCTCCCGGTCTGACTGCATGTTATTTCAAAGATATAATGGAGCATTGTCTAATAGATCCTTTCAAACATTATTCAGTTACCTAGAAGAATGCATTTTTGTTTTGCTTACTATTTTTTATTAGCCTGAGACTCCATGAGATTGGATGTTAAATTGTTTTTTTAAAAAAAGAGTATATTTTGCTGTTCAGAAGCAATACGAATTATTTTGTCTAGTAGAAAAGATAACACAAAAGTTGTAGTTTTATTGTCTTATAGAACATCAAGCAAGTTTATATCTATTTAATTTTCTCTCAGCATTCTGTCTTTAATTCACTCTCTATACATAACAGTCTCTCTTACTCCGTTTTTGGACCAGCTTTATAATTCTGCTGGATTAATTCATTAATGAGTTAAGTCAGCTTTGGTCACTTGCTCACTATATATTTGCACAAAATTCATGTTTTGGCTTCCTGAAAATTATACCCTGAAAAACTATGAGAATACATTAGTCCTTTTTCTGAACAAATAGAAAGTCTTTATAGAAGAAGGTTGGCTACTTTCTCTATGTAATGTCTACTTTTCTTAAAACAAAATGTGTAAAAAGGGTTTTGATGGTAGAAAATAGAATGCCTTTTCACTCATTTATGATATGAAGCTCAGCCAAAATAGAAAAGACACATTTCCTTACAAATAGATTAACATATGAAAAAATCAACATTGAAGATGATATATTATACTTGATAAAAGAATAAATGTATATTCTCAATTAAATAAAAATTATTTAATCTGTGGTGGACTTGATATCAAAAGCTAAATTATTGTTAAAACTTGCAGTCTGATAGAGGCCCAGCATGTTTCCATTTGAAGTCTTTTTTGTTTGTTTGTTTTGAGATAGTCTCACTCTGTCACACAAGCTGGAGTACAGTGACACCAATCTTGGCTCACTGTAGCCTCCTCCTCAAGGGCTCAGGTGATTGTTCCACCTCAGCCTCCAGAGTAGTTGGAACTACAGGCATGCACCACCACACTTGGATAATTTCTGTATTTTTTGTAGAGATGGAGTTTTGCCATGTTGACCAAGCTGGTCTCAAACTTCTGGGTTCAAGGGATCCATCTGCCTCAGCCTCCCAATGTGCTGGGATAACAGGTGTGAACCACTGCACCTGGGCCATATGAAGTACTGATTTTTTTTCTGACAACTAAATTTCAAAATTATTTGGGCTGATCTAACACATGCACAGAATGGAACACAAAGTCTTTGCACAGCCTCCTGACTGTTTACATCAATGTCTTGATTTTCTTCTTCCTGCAGTACATTATAAAACTAAAGTTTTAAAAATACAACTCTCATTTGCATCTTAAATTCTTGTAAGACTCTTTTAGAATTCAGCACAACTATGTAGGTTATCATTCAAGGCTCTTTATTGCATGAGCTTTCCTGACTTTTAGCTTTAGTATATACATCTTCACTAAAATGGTGGCAGATATGGCAGGAGAACTAAGAGTATAAGTTTCGGAGCTGCACAGACAAGGATCCATGTCATAGTCCTGTCACTTCCTAGTAGAGATCTTGGGTAAATTATTTAACCTTCTGAGCCTAGTTTTCTGATCTGATAAATGGAGGAAATAATAATGCAACCTTAATTTCTTATTAAATGTAAGTCTAAGAAAATTTTTTCTTCTAAAAAACTCATAAAGATGTACTCTATACTAATTGCTAGAAATTTAATTTTTATGTTTTAATTTTTAAATTGGCTCACTGATATTATTATAATATGTATCTTTGGTAAGAGCTAGTTGTCCTCAGGGCCTTCATAAAAAGAAGAGCAGAACTGAAATTCTTCTGAATACACACATACTTGATTGTGAGCTCATTTGTCACCACTTACATTGTAATCTGTGAGGAAATAACATACTAGATAGCTTGTTATAATCAATCAGTTTATCTGATTTACTCAAAAACCCATTCTCAATCAAGAGAATAATAATAAGACAGAATTTATTTTCTTTGGAAAAGAGAGAAGAACTCAGAAATAATTTTAGCTGGCCAAGGGCAGGACCATTATTTGAGTGAGAATCTTTGGACAACAGGTTGTGGAAAAAGGGCATTGTGTAAAACAAAGCCATTTACAAAAACAAAAAAAGAAAGCCCCCAAAAGTTAGTAAAAATAAATTGTTAAACTGAATACCAGATCTACTACAATTATTATCATTATCTACAAGTCTCCATCTTCGGCAATTCTTTCCTGTCTTAAATTTACACACGGTAATAGGAAACTGTCTCTAAAACTTGAAATGGATATTTTTCTAACAAAACCTTTTAAATATGGATGGTAGGTGTCATGGGTTGTAAATTAACCACTCTAGGAAGTTTTAAGCATAGAATAAACAAAATAAATGGTTTACATAAATCTCAGAAGCAGGGATTCTACTTCAACTCTAGGTTTCTATGGTGTCAATGTTCTTTTGATTCTCCCTAAAAGTTTAGAAGGGCACTCCTAAGCTTTGTAGGACTTACATAGTCAGGTGGTATAATTAGTCATCCAGCTTCAATAGGCGATTCCATTAAAAATAGCTTTTAATAAATTAAACTTAATATTTGAGTAGCTGACTGATTGAGTGTTTGACCAGATACCTGTGCTCTAAGTAAAAGGCCAAAGTTCTTCACTTAGTAGCTATGATGTTTATTAACTCTAATGAGATAAATCCATATAAGTTTGGCTACTGGTAGAAATTGCTCCACTTCAAAGAAAGTTGTGAAGGCTGTGAAACTCAAAATATGCACATAACATAAGATATGTGCATGTAAGTATATAAACACCACCAAATACACATTCACCTTTTATGGTAAATGATATATTATGTCATAGTACTTTACATAAGGCTTTTTTAAATTTGGTGTCTTATTTGATCACATTATGCTGAGCAGGAAAGAAAATAGAATTTTAATTTTATGAATAAGAAAAATGAGGTTGAGGGCTATGTGATGATTGAATAATTAATCAAAACCAAATCAACGCCAACCTAAAGCCAAAGATTATTTAAGAGCTGGTAAGAAACCTAGATACCCTCAATTTCAAATTTCTCATTATATAAATGAAGAATATAAGACATAGAGAAAAACGCACTTACTTGCTCAAGGACATACATTCTCATGGAGGAGAACCAAGAATGGACCCTGCTAATGATGGTAATAATTCAGTTATAGCTTATTTTCAATTGACATATAAAATAGAACAAAATAAAAATCTAGAGACTAAAACAGACCTTAGAATTTATCCATGCAAGACCTTATTTTGTTGCTAAAGGTTCTAGTCCAGAAGGGAATATATTAATTTCCAAACTTCACACAGTAGCACGGTGAGAGCACAACTCTCTCGATGCAGTCTTCTTTTTTAATTATATTACTCTTTATGCTTGGTCTATTTGCAATCATTTAAATGCCTAGGGTTAAAACCTCACTTCTATTTCATAGTTTATAAAGAAACAAAATCATTTTAATCCAATGTCACGAAACATCATCACTGTGATGTTTTGATATACATGTGTAATGTGGAAGGATTAAATCAAACTATAATGTCCATCACAGTGCTCGCCTATCATTTTTAAGGTGAGACATTTGAAATGTACTCTTACTTTGAAATTATGATTTGTTGCTTAAAACTCATATTAATTTTAAAAGAGGAAAGAAATTTCATGAACTCAGGAAGCACTAGTGAAATATTTTTGATAAAGCAAAGTCTTACAGAGAAATGTGGGTGTTATTATGATTGGAATTTATTCTTCACATTTTAATAAAGACTAATAATTATAAAAATCCAGAACACTCTTTTTAACAAGTAATGGATGTAGAAAGAAAAGCAAATATCATATGTACCTAGGCAAGACATTATACACTACTTTAGGTAGTTTAAGCTGAAAGATGTCTATTGCAAAAGATTGGTAACAATGGTATTGAAAAGAATGACTAAATAAAAGCAGAATGTTAGAATCCATTAACTTCACAGTGGGAAATTAATATAAATATTATTCATTTCAGAGCATTTACAAAATATTACAAAGGACTACCATTTGTTGGTCTAAAATCCTGAGGTTTGCCTCAAATACAATTAACACCAAAAATAATAATATTAAATCTGGTTTTCCTCTTTGAAATGCATCATGTAAGTGGAAATTTGAAGTGGGAATCCATGGGAATCTGAAGAAAATATTAACATTATGTAATGACAAATGCTTATTATTTTTAACAGTAGTTAAAAATAGCTAAATTTTATTACTAAAATATAGAAACAGAATCTTAATTAATGGATTTGCTAATCATTAGGATTTACCATTTATGTTTGGTTCGTATTTGACAGGTTGGCTTGAAGCTAATTTGTTGTTTGATACTATAAATTTTTATTGAACATATAGAGTATCCAAGGCACTAAATTGAAAGCCTGCAATCCAAAAATGATAAGGCAAAATTCTGCAGTTCAAAATTTTGAGTTCAATGAAAAAACAAGTGTAACATAAAGCATTATTCTTTAAATTGAGCTGTTTATACAGTACAATGGTGATATGGGGAAGGGGAAGAAACAATTATATCTGTTAAGGAGAGTTGAGGAAAGTCGCAATAACTCTAAGGAGTAGGTGTTATCATTCTCATTTTATAGATGTTAACAATAATAATTTATAATTATAATATCATCACTTAATTGCCTTTGGAAAATTTCCTTAAGTGATACTTTACTTTTATTAAGTAGATTTGGGACTATTTCCTTTTTAAGACTTACTAAAGATTTTGTAAATATAATGTGAACTCACCACTGTACCAATTTTATTTCCTTATGGAGACCACCATAGGTTCATATGTATCAGAGCACTAATACTAATTGTTACTGATTGGATTGTGTTCTCTACAACATTCATATGTTGAAGCCCTAAACCCAATGTGACTGTATTTGAAGAGAGATCGTTAATGGCAATAATTAAAGTTAAGTTGAGGGCATAAGGGTGGGTCTCTAAAATGACAGGGCTGGTGACCTTACAAGAGGAGGAAGAGACAACAGAGTTATTTCTCTCATTATTCATAAACAGATAAAACGTCATGTAAGGATGCAACCAGAGAAGGTGGCCCTCTACAAGCCAGGAAGAAGCATAAACCAGAAACTATTTTTGGACACTTTGACTACAGACTTGTAGTCTCTAGAACTGTGAGAATATGAATTTATGTTGTAAGTCACCCAGTCTGTGTAATTTTCTCATGACAGCAGCCTACTATGCCAATAATATGAAGCAGATGAATTTGGACTGATTTTCCTTGGAGAAGGACACCATAGTACCATTTGCCCTTTGAATAAAAGCCACCTCCTCTTACTATCCTTTTGTGTTCTGGGAGAAGAGCTGGTTGAGTTTGCACCTGTACCGAGGAGCCTCCTGGAAAGTGCAGGGTTCTGAGTCCACACTTGTCCGTTGAGCAGCAATGTTACAGAGTTTTTCAATGAATTAAAGTTTTGTATTGGAGTGAAAAGATACCAGTGATGCTAAAAGTGATCCAAATCCAAATGTAAGTGATGGCAGTGGCAGGCCATCTGAAGCAGCCGCTGCCAAGATGCAGGCTGCAGCGGGGAGGCACAGCCAGGGCTGACGCCCCACAGAGCCAGTCGGAGCCAGGGACAGGTGGGAACCCAACCCCTACTGAGTAGGCAGGGCAGGAGTTCCCTGGGTGCGACTGCAGCTGCCCCCGGCCTCCCTGTGCTCTTGGAGGCTGGGAGCAGGCCTCCTGCCTACCCTTCTGGGCACAGCTGAAGCAGCCCATGTCACAGCTGCAGACCTGGGCCTCCCTGTGATTGTGGAGGCTGGAAGCAGGCAGGATCCCCACCCTCCCGGGCTCACATGCAGTTGCCCAAGTCACGTCTGAGGACCTGGGCATCTCTACAGTCTTGGGGACCCAGGAAGTAACCCCCTCATGCCTCAGCAGACTTGAAGGCGGTGTCTGCTCCAATTTCCTGACCTCGTCAAGCCTGGCACTCTCTGTGATCTCAGAGCAAGGTGGGGGCTGACTTGGGTGCTGTCACAGCCCAGTGGGGTGTATGCACAATTGGGGAAGCACTAATATGGCAGCCCTCTGCCTCCTCAGCCCCCTCTGGACTTGGGGCTCTGATAAGCACAAGAGGGAGGCCAAGTGGGGACTGAGGGAGATTGGGCACTGGCCTCCCTGGATTTTTTACATGAACAGCCTGGGCACCATAGAAGGCAGTAGAATGCAGACAGGCTGGAAGGCGGAGGAAGTGGGAAGTGTTGGATCCCTTGTGAAGCCACACCTTCAGGCTGGGGAAGGCCTGAAGCCTGAGGGCTGGGCACCAGTCTCCTGGACCAGAGGGAGGACTTATGGTGTTTTCCTTTGTGCCCACCCATGGCTGCCCATGGACCAATCAGCAGGTACATTCTTCCCTCTGAGGCCCATAGAAACCCTGGACTCAGCCAGACTTGGGGAGATATGGTGACTTGCCTGCAGAGAGGAGTTACCCGCATCAATGCCTCCTCTCTGTTGAGAGTTGAACACTCAATGGGACAACCTGCCTGCAGAGAGGGGCTATCGACTCCAAGATCTCCTCTCAGCTCCTCTTCACCTTGCTCACCCTCTACTTGTCCACATACCTCATTCTTCCTGGATGCAGGACAAGAACTTGGGACGAGTCAAATGGCAGGGCTGAAAGAGCTGTGACACGGGGTGGAAACACCCTTCTTGGGCACTACATTGCGAGACTTCTTCCCAGTGAAGGGGAGAGAAAAACTGTGGCC